GCTAAAAGAGCTCAAAATCAAAATGGCAAAAGTGTCTCTTATTCTTATAAAATATGGTATATAATCAATCAATTTATCTCAGAAATGGGTCATTCCAGAAAACATCCATACCACCCCCACAGAGGAAATAGAAAGTTAACCCCCCTCTCCGGATGTCCTAATACATTTACTATTATCAGAAACAATTTTTTCTCCCCTCCCCCTCCAGACGGCAGAAATTTCCTCTGTGGGGGGAGTATGGATCTTTTCTGGAATGACCCAATGCATTAAAATGCTGAGGTTTCAATTCAAATATAAATATAAGTCTTTATAAAATATGAGAAGTTTTATCGCAGAAAAATGTTGTGATTCGCGAACACGAATTGACGGGTATTTGACTAAAATGTTGCTTCAATACTTCGACCTTTGTTTTGAACTCTATTAGTTGAAAATAATATAATACTGACAAAAGTTGCACAGCAAACATTAAATATTTAAACTTCGGTCTGTTTGGATGTAAGTAGTCAAGTTGCCACGAGATAACGTCAAGGAATTGACGTAAAAACCCACCCATAACGTCGATTCAACGTTATGCGTGGCAACATGAGTACAAAACATGGATCACAAACAAAATATCAACACATGCTCTCTTGCCAGTAGTCTGCAGGTCAGGCTAGCACAAGGCAAGCAAAAAAATACTGACGACCTTCACCCAGCCCCCCGGCAGTGCACAAGAAAAAATGTTCTGCCTCTTTCGTTCCTCAGCCGGCAGAAAATAACATTTAATGGGGTATGATAAAAGTAGCCCTCCAATAAACATAAATCAAGATTCACAATAAGGATGTATTTATATTTGTCAATTCTTATGATTCTTTTCAGATGATCATTTTTTATATAATTTTAACAATCTATAGGGTTATGTGAAACGTCAAGCACTATATGCTTGCCTAACCTGCACACCTGCTGCACCTGATTCTGACTTGGCAGGTGTCTGCTTAGCCTGTAGCTTATCATGTCACGATGGCCACGATCTGGTTGAACTTTATACCAAAAGGTATTATCCTTAGTATCTATTTTCTGAAACCGAGAGAAATATTATGTTTATTCTTGTTGGTCCAATTACAACATATTATCTCTTGCCTCTAGTTGTCCACTTGTCTGTGGTAAACAGTCAAATTCTCCGCACAATATTTTTCAACCTGGTGTATAGTTTATAAATTATAAATATATATTATTAATCACTCGCAAATACCTTATAAAAGTGCCCCTCACAGTTCAAACTGTCAATCAAAGTTCAAACTGTCAATCAAAGTTCAATCTGTCAATCAAAGTTCAAACTGTCAATCAAAGTTCAAACTGTCAATCAAAGTTCAAACTGTCAATCAAAGTTCAAACTGTCAATCAAAGTTCAAACTGCCAATCAAAGTTCAAACTGTCAATCAAAGTTCAAACTGTCAATCAAAGTTCAAACTGCCAATCAAAGTTCAAACTGTCAATCAAAGTTCAAACTGCCAATCAAAGTTCAAACTGTCAATCAAAGTTCAAACTGTCAATCAGAGTTCAAACTGTCAATCAAAGTTCAAACTGTCAATCAAAGTTCAAACTGCTAAAAAACTATGGAAATATGAAATATTTATCATCATAATTTAATTTAATTTAATTAATTTAACTATATATGAATTGTTGAACATTACTGTTTAGATTTGAGAGAATTTTATTTACTTTTTACTTTAGAAATTTCCAGTGTGACTGTGGAAATGAAAAATTTGCTGACTTTGAATGTAAACTACAGAAGGTGAATGAAAGGCATATTCTAATCTTGTTTCCTTGGGAATCAAATCACATTTGTTGTTTTACTTGTTTTATTTAGAATAAAGATGCTGCAAACACACTCAATAATTACAATCAGAACTTCAAAGGCCTTTATTGCTCTTGTCATCGACCTTACCCAGACCCAGATGATGAGGTAATGTTTATGTGCAAAAGGTTAAAAGAAGAAAGGATGTAAAATTTTGAGAAATTGAATGTGGCCCAATTTGAAAAAGTGTGGTATTGATGTGGCTCAAACAGATCTTTCCAACAACCTTGAGTTTTAGCTTGTGCAGATCGAAGAATATATGGCATGTTGAACACTAGAAAAATTTAGCATAAAATAGTCCCCCCGTTTGAAATTACCCACCAAACTAACCAGGAATTATCCACCCCCCTCATAAAAATAATCCCACACCCCCTACAAATTATCCAGCCCCCCCCCTGCAGAAAATATGTGTACCCAGCAATTACACTAAAAATTATCCAGCACCCCACCCCCTAAAAATATGTACACCAGGCCATGAATGATAATGATTTTAGACTCAGATTTTAATTTCACTGTTTTGGCAGGCTTTTACTAGGCTAAGTATGTCTATATTAATTAATAACTGTATATTATAAGCTAGCAATGCTCCCTAGCTTAGGCATCCTTTTTCTTTGTCTTTTATATGTCAACTGTCTATTAAAATTATAGATTGAAGATGAAATGATTCAATGCATTTCCTGTGAAGATTGGTTCCACTCAAGGGTATGTAGGTCATGAAGTTATTCAACGATTGGCCTCCATTAATGCTGTTTTATTCAGTTAGAGATTGACCGGTAACTTTTTCATCTTGACTGGCAAATATTATCCTTTACCGGGCACATATTATGATAATCCACCGGTCACGATAACCGGTATACCTTGCAGATGTAATTTGAGGCCTGCCTGAGAGTGAATACTAAATACTGTTTTACCACTATAGCATCTTAGTAACCTTCCACCATTGGATGGTGACTACACTGAGATGATCTGTGACCAATGTATGGAGAAAACCAGTTTCATACAAGCATACCTACCATACTCGTTGCCCAGCCAACAGATATGTACCATTAAGAAAAGTGATACCAATGAGAATGTTGATATAGAAGGAGTTAAGAGTGAATCAGTAAACGGTGATGGTGTGTCTTCTAAGATAAAGATTGATGGTGAAAGTAGCGCAGAAAAGGAGGTATGTCGGAGTTTTTTTAATAGTACAACTGGACTGCAAAATAGCGAGTTGATTAATGCAGGCAAAAAGTGTTCTTCGAGAAATTAAAATCAAAGTTAGTATAAAGTTAGTTATTATTTTTTCACCCCGGAACATCCAGACATCGCCACAGAAAGCGGCAAAAAGAAAGTTAAGCGAGGAAGCTGATGGCGACCAAAAGGCGGAAACTCTTGGTGAGACGTCTTCAAAGAAGCTCTGCAGTGAAGATGAAAATACGGAGAAAGATCAGAACAACTGTATCTATCAGAAACTTCTTGGAAATGTACAAAAGAAATCTGGTTGCACTTATTGGAAAAATGGTTGGAGGGCAAAATTGTGCGTTTGCCAGAAATGTAAGGTATGGCATGGTTGTTTGAAACGTTTTCGTTGGTGCACTTTTAACGGCTGCGCAGTGTGACTGGTATTCGATTCCTGCAATTTACTGTCCTTTGATTATAGTTTCGTGGGAAGAATTATCCCAGCTTGTTTGTACCAAACAGTGTATGTTCTTTCGGGGTGCAAGGGAAATGCCAATTTTCGTCTCAAATCTTTTTTTTACAAAAACAAAAATAGGGACGGACAAACGTGCGCAAGCGACGTTTCTGTCAACAACGTTTTTGTCGCCCGAAAGTTGTTATACTTGTAACTCATTTTGGCGGCGTTTTGCATCAGCGCTCGTGTAAGGAAGAAAAAAACAACTTTAAAAATCGTATGTTTGGTCACATGTGTTGAAGATTACCACAAACTAACAGAAACATAGTCCCCACACTACAAACGCCCTAACTATAAACGTGTTTGCACGCAAACTACAGATACATAGCTGGCTATAAAATGCTAGAAAAAATAGTTGATGGACATTCTAACATTTCCATCTCTAGCTTATGTACAAAGAACAAGATGTCGAGTTTCTCATGGATGATTCAGATACGATAATAGCATATGAAGATCGTGGTCAGTCTCGGAGGGAACAGCAGTCCAGTTCATATGATTCCAGTCTGAATGCATTAAACAGTCTTGGCAGGGTTCAGCAAATAGAGATCCTACATGGTAAGACCGGTTTCATTTGATTGACGGACTGGGCTGCTATGTAATTTGATTTTAGTAAACAATCTATCTATCAAAATAATCCCGATATCAACCACACATAGGAAAACCACGGGGAAGTAACAGATTGTTCTTTTCTCAGGTTACAATGACATGAAGACACAACTCACAAATTACTTGGCTGAATTCGCAAAAGAAGGGAAAGTATGCACACATATATATTAAAATTTCTGTAAAAAAAGTGAATGCCTCCATTTTTTCTATGTTATAAATTTTTGTTTCTGGAATATTATGTAGACTGTTACAAAAGAAGACATCCAGAGTTTCTTTCAAAAACTTCAAGAAAAGAAAAACAAAGACTCTGCCTCTGGAAATATCCCACATTACTGCAGATAACACTGTTATATTGATCGGATCGATATTAAACCTATACATTATAGTATTTTATAGTTTATTATGTTATAACTTTGTTTAGTAGTATATAATGTTCAAAAGAATAAAAAAAGGTTATAGACAAGTCGATATAGACGATGGAAATATAATTGGATTTCCCTACTATTTCCAGCAAAGATCCATACTATTTCCATAGTAAGGATTTTCTTTAAAATCACAGTGAATGTTGTAGGTATTAATGTTTAAATTATTAATGTTTAAATATTAATGCACTTTATGTTAATTAGTTCTCTGTCCACTGTATCCGGTACTGATGAAAGCGAAGTGGATCGTTAAATATAGGAAACAGTGTTGCAGAAACATTTGAAGATCGTAACATTAATGGCATTGAATGTTTTTGACAAATGTTGGCTAGAACACAATATTTCCGCAACACAGTTTCCTGTTTTCCCTAGTATCAAGTTTTCATTTTTAGTTTGTTGTTATCAATTGTCATTTTATCATGCACTTCATTCCGTCGAAACACCCCAAGATTTGTAATCGTCTTTCCGGACTTCCACATTCCCAGCAAATCTTTCAGCACTGTAGTAGAACACTGGAAAACAAAACACGATGTACTACTTAATTTTATCAGCGTATTTGTCTCCAGTTATCGACACTGTGGTGGTTGCGCTTAGTCGCATAGGGCGTTTTCCATTTAATGGCCTGACCGGTCAGACCCAAATTGTTTTTCTCTGTATCAATGGAAAGATCTGGTCTATGTTTCTCAAATATCTAGCGAAAATGGACCTCATTCAAAGGTTATCTAAATTTTCCGGTCAGATAGGTCCGAAGCCGAAATGTTTTGTGTTCCATTCAACAATTTGCCCGTTCTGACCGAGTTAATGGAAAGCGCCCATACTCTTTCACACTGTGTGAGTCACTGCATAGTCTTTTTCACACATCTTTTTCACACTGTTCCAAAATCATATAAGTAGCACAGTAATAAACTAATATTCTGCAAATTATTTGCGCTAAACCTTGGTTAAAATTTAATCTGCTGTTTTTATGTATTTCTGTACGTCTGTTTATTTCAAAACTTTAGAGAAGAAAACTCCCACTGACCCAGAAACAAGTTGTAGGGAAGTTTGCTTTGAATTCTAGGCTAACCAAGGGTTAAGCTAATCGGCGTTCGAACAACCAGCCCCTGGATACATTGGAAAGTTTGGTCATATATGGTCAAAAAGTACTCCAATAACGAGAGTGCTGCGTACCTACGTGGTACTTGGTTGAAAATATAGAACTATCAGACCGTAATATTACTGTACCTCCGGTAAGTAAGGACGCGAATTATCGCACCCTGCATGGTGTATTAAGGAGGTTAGACCTTTAGATTACTAGGCTTCTGACTCTTGGTCCTTTGCTTGAAATACCCAAGTAATCTTTTTCAGGTAATTCAAACAAAAACCACAACATTGTCCACAGCTAAAAATGTAGTCTGCTCAGTGGGTTGCTACTACCGACAGTATATTTACTCACCATCCAACACTGATGGGTAATTCTCGTGCATTGATTTGCGGTAATCTACATGGAAGGATAATGGTGTAATTGTTTATGTCAAGATATAGATAGACAATATTAATATTTACAGTGAGAGAAATAACTTCCTATTGGCACAGAAAGGATAGCATATTGGGTGTATCACTGTATGGATAAGGGTGAACTTAGAGTCAAAGAGATAAAATTTATAACAATGCAAAGGATTTGAGCATGAACCTAGCAGTATCAATGGAAAAGCTTGAAAGAAGTTCCCATCCTGTGCCTATCAATTTGAATTACCTTGGTCAGTGTTCATCATATGCCAAACTCTATAAGCACCAATAAAACAGCCAAGTTCGACAGCAATAACAGCTGTACCAAGGTATCTCCTTGCTTTTTTTGATAGCATCAATTTTGTATGAGAAACAGGCTGGGAATCAATACCTGTTTTGACCTGTTGGTCAGACAGATGGTCAAATAGTATGGTTAAACAGGCCTCATATCATTGAGGCTTCATAATGATGGGTAAGCTACAGTAGGTTCATCTCTTAGGCTCATGTATAACCTTGTACCCAGGGCTTTTGGGTTGTACATTAACCAATAACAGAAGTAGTCTGACTTTCCATTCTATTATTCATCAAAATGATTTGCACATGGGTAATGCACAGCAAGAATACAATATGCCAATCATTTTAATGCCTACATCCCCCTCGATCCAATAGGTCATTAGGATACCATGTATATACAAATCACATACATGGTGGAACCCCACCGGCAAACTGCCCTGGGTAAGGGTGGTAATCTCCAACTGAGTATTACCTGCATGATAAAGATAAATAAGTGTGACTTCCCACTAGTTCAAAGGTTCACTAGTCTGAAAGTAACCTGGGTACGGAGTGGCACAAGTTTTTCCAAATTTGAAGAAAAACTAGTCTGATTACATCAACTTTTTGTTACTTATATTACCTATTTAGCCTAGACTAATTATCTTTACAACAATTGTGATATTTCCTTCCTAACTATGTTTATCCTATTTAAACCCACCCTGTCAACTTTCGCTGTGGGAGGAGACCGGAGTGCCGGACCAGAAAACCCCCACAACTTTTGGCAGAATGTTCACTCTTTTCACATGAGTCTAACATGATTCGAACTTGCAATCTCAGAGGTGAAAGGTGCTTGCTCAGATGACGTGCCACCAAAGCCCTTTAAAACATGATAAAGGGGAAAACTTGCTTTAAATAGCAGGTGGGCAGGCAAGATTTCTACAAGCATATATAAATAACATTATTAACCAATGAATATATCTATATATATATTCTAATATTCCCCTCTAAGCTCCCCTTGTACACCCTTTAACACCAAATTTACCAGAAAAAATGGAGAATACCTCAAAATCTTGACTGTTTAGTAGAACAAGGGGGGTCTAACCAATCAAATTTCTAACTTAAAGCTAGCCCGCGTGCAGGCCCAAGGGAGCAGGCTCAAGGGAACTTGATAGTTCCCTTGGGCCTGCACGCGGGCTAACTTAAAGCTAACCCCCCC